GAAAGATTTATCAACAGCAAAGGTCGATCATCTGTCAAAAGTCGAAACTGTCAGAATTTGCAATGTTGGTAGCAATGACAGATGACAGCAAGCTTTAAAGAAAAATTCTTAAAAACATGCTAATGTTACAGTGTTCGAAGGACGTGCAATTGCAAGCAATAGACATGCAGTAAACAGGTTGCAATGTACGACGGCTTTTAGGAAAATATAGGGTTCGAAGGGTACTCATAGAAATCGAAACCACTTGCATCAGAAAGGGCACAATATATCTTTTAGATCTAAGCGTATTAACACATCACATACATATAACTTGGAGTCGTGCGTAGTTATCACGGACATGACTCGTATCTGTCTTTATCGGCCGTGGCCTACTTTAGAAATATTTTTTGTAGATCACTATAATAAAACATAACGTAGTATCAGGATCTTAATTAAAACTATAATGTTTATAGAGGTTCTATTATCATTTTAATTAAAAAAATATTTTAACGTTTTTAAATATTTTTAAATAGAAATGCAATAACAATAAATACAGTCCATTTCTGGCTTTAAACCAATGTTAAATCCTAACAAAAATACCCCGTATACATGATAATTAATATAATTATGCCGAGAAAATAGTTGGAACATAAAGTTTATTATTTTTAAATTACATATAATAGTAGGAAATAAATTTTATGCAAATTTAATAATATAAAAGCAGCAAAGCTATTATATTTACTACAAACCATATACAGCAATTTGTTGGATATCAAAATTATGCAAGTGCAGCATTGCCATTTAGCCTAATTAGTTTTTCATTATGAGTACTAAACTAGATAAAATCATTATTAATCGTTAAAAATTTTATTTAAAAAATCTAATCAAGATAAAATTATTAAATTCAAAAGAAGAACATAATACTTGTTTACGCATATGCATCTTATTCAGTGATACCTAAAATGGTACCCCATAAATTTCGACTTGCATGTAAACACAGACAAAAAATTTCCAAAAAAGTCCACATGTTATGCTGCGTCGACGTTGATTTATTTTTGCAATGTATATATTTAAACATAAATAGTTGACCTTGTAATAATTAACAAAAAAATAGAAGAAACCTTTTTCAAGTATTGCTGTCAATAGTATTAGAAATTTTATCAAAGAACAATGTCTTACCTATCAAATTCAAAGAAGGGGTAATCCAAAAAAATACGCAAAAGTTTTGAACGACTGAGTGTTAGAAATCGCGGTGTTCACTTCACAAAATTATTAAGAACACAGCCACTAGCCATACTGCCTGCAATCGGCGTCTAAAGTTGACGTCACGGCGTCCAAAATTAGCCGCCTTTCGTTTACAGTTTTGTTGACTGGCAACCTTGCGGATAAAGGTAGTCTTATAGATAGTTTGCTCATATTTTAAGCAAAAAATAACCAAATATGTCTACGCTTGGCATTTGTACAACGGAAGGTGTAACAAAGAAACAATAATTAATTGTTTATTGGGTTGTTTTTCAACAGTTCACTTTTGACCAGCAACTAATTTCGAAAATAAAAAATATGAGATATGAGATCCTGATTGATATTTAATTAGCTTTTTGAAACACTTAATAGCGATAAAAATAAAAATTGTTTTTAAATATGGCTTAATGTCATTTATATTTACTTTTAATTGAACATTTAAAAGGTAATAAAAATAATAGTTTCAGAACAGTACAACTTTAGGCTACCCCACTACTGTACTAAATCAAATAGGTAGGTCTCTTTCATTTCAAAACATGGAACACATTGATTTCGGACCTTTAAATTTAAATATTTCATCATAAGTATGTCAAAAAGAAAAGAAACTTTCTAATAGACACATAGTTTGTTGCTATACAGGGTGGGTCACTGGACCAAATAATATCAATAAATCTACATTTACTTTGATTTTTCTACTACAAATGCAGCACCAAGGATACATAATCACCAGGGTGAACTAGTATTCATATTTCACGAGTTGATACATCTCCAAACCAGAACGACTACAAGAATAACTGGAAAGTATCCAAACTTATATTTCCAAGGATAATACGAAACAAAACGTGGTACACTTATTATCGACAAGTTTTTAAAATACCACGACTGTCAGTCCCAATGACGAAAATAATTATAATGAATGCGATCCACGAGTTTTATTTTCCAAAGATTGGTACCTTGTATGAGTTATTAAACCTAAGGGTTATACGAAATTAAATAGCACCATATTATTACGATTAACAGACATTTAAAATAGGATACAGAACAACTAAAAATCCCCTGATTCAAAATAAGGCGATTAAACGACACGTGCTTGGATAAAATATTGCTGGTTTCCGAAATACAGGGCGTTAAAGTTAAAAATTCAAAAATTATTAGTGTCATAAGATACACCTACCAGCAAAGAAATCAGTTAAATTAACTTTGCCAGTGGCGTACTGCATCGATAAGTAACACCAGAAACTTGTTTAGACTATATTTTACATTTTTTAATGATCTTTAAAAAATAATGTAATCTTGTTTATATTCATCATTTTAATTTTGTAATTTTTGTTTTAAGCTATTGTATAGCTTTTATTGCGAGCTTTGAGAGCGGCGACCGAATCAAGAAAAAAAAAAAACGAAACCGTAACGAAAAAAAACCTAACACCCCCACTCCGACCGGCACAGCGGTGCGGCGTTAAATAATATGAACTTCTCATTTATTCAATAAAAGAAAATCGAAAAATCGAAAAATCGAAAAATCGAAAAATCGAAAAATCGAAAAATCGAAAAATCGAAAAATCGAAAAATCGAAAAATCGAAAAATCGAAAAATCGAAAAATCGAAAAATCGAAAAATTGAAAAATTGAAAAATCGAAAAATCGAAAAATCGGAGAATCCAAAAATTAAAAAATCGAAAAATCGCCTGAATAACTTACATGTATTGTAAGATAATAAAAATATTTTAAACAATATTAACATCTGATTTATTCAATAAAAAAAAAAAAAATTGTTTTCTTATCGGTCACCACGCTCAAAAAGTGTAACTTGAATTAATATCAAAGAAAAAAAAAATACCTGCATAAATAAAATAAGTAAAAAATTGCATAAGTTGATAAAAAATGTTATGCAATAGCTTTACCGCGGCAGTCCCCGAGTGACACGCGTATTTTTTTTTATAAATTCCCAACAAAAGTACATGATTTATTTAAAAACATGAAAAAATTCAAAATTATAGTGCGAACAAGTTTTTGGAGAGTGGTGTAAAATTTAGAAGGAATGAAGGTGTACTAGAAGCCTTTTTAAACTTGTTCTCAAATCTTCAAATACTTCTAGGAGCCTGAAACGGCGTCTTGCCCAAACTGGTATATCAAATTACCTGTCTAGGAATCTCGACGGTCAATGTCGTTATGGTCTAGCGGTAAGGATATTTGTGTACATAACAAGTATGCCTGGGTTCGAATCCCGGTGGCAACAGGTTTTTTTCAAATCTTTAAGTATTTGTTTTTACCTTTATAATTCATGGATGATTTTAATAATTCGTAGGGCGATTTTTGAGATTTGTTTCCGAATTTTCAAAATTGTTCTACAACTTATTTCAGATAATTCTGATCTTTCGGATTTCGATTTTCACAATTTTTAACCTATTAAATTATTTTATTAAATTACCGAAGCGATGACAATTGTAACGAAGTTCTAAATAAAGCTACAGGTGAAGCATCAAATTTAGAACTGTAATGTACTTTTCTACATATGTTAAAAAATATTCGCCCGAGAATTCCACCAAAACCTTCTGACAATGAACATGTATCGGTATGAATCAATTGTAAACCCTAAACAAAATTTTAAAATAAACTTTTTCAACAGAATAATTGCTCAAACGTTAAGTTCCTTGCCTTGCAAGAGATGAATTTTTTTTCATTTTTTTTAGGAATATTCTGAATTTTTCTGAAGATACCTTTTGACCCACTGTAAAATACTACCTACGAAGCCAAAAAAGAATCTGATATTGACGGCAAAGAAATATTTAATGAAATAAAAACTATACAGCTTTTTTCTTTGTCAGATGAGTATAGAAATCCCTCAGATCTCTTGCAATACATATATTACCAACTTAGCCATTTTCTTACTCTAAAACAATAAATAATAAATAATTAATTTGTGACAAAAGTTGGCTACTATTTGTTATTTATGTGGCTAGATTTTACTTTGGTAAAGAAACGCCACATTGGAGTTGTGAAATTTATTCATCTGACACACGATCTGGCATGTGTGAGTAATGCTCAGTGTAATATTACAAAATGTAATTAATGTCCTGAAATTCCACGTAAAAACAACCATAACCATTTCGCTTAGTTCATCTTACAATATAAACCATTCTTGAAATTAAAATTTAAATTCAGTATTCTACGATATACATACAACTAATTGATATTTATTTTCACAAACTGTCAACTGCTGTCAACGTCTAATGTCCATCTACAAACGACGTGTATCTTTAGTTAACATCTGAGATGCATAGATGACACTATCGTTGCTGTGATCGTTGCGTTTCCTATCTTTATGTCCCTGATCTATATACTTTTTAATAAATAAATATTAAAATAGTTATTAAACGAAACATCCAATTTTGAGTTTTATCATTTAGCGGAATAAAAAATAGATGTAATAGATCATACATAATAGTTTGTTTGGTGCAAACTTGACTTAAGTGGTAACACCCCTAGGGAACTTATCAGTGTAAGTCAGAGCTGATTGGATATGCTGATACATGCGACTGAAAATGAACGATTTTAATTGGTTTTCTATTAATGCCTGAAATTTTTGTGGTAATTAGTTTAGAGCTTTTCACCAATTATTAAGAATATCCGTCTTTACCGATTTATATTTATTTTCATTCTTTTTCTTTATATAAACATTTTTTATTAGATTATTTGCAACAAGAATATGTGTCACACGATCAGAACAAAATTTAATTACAAGGTAGGAAAAAAATTGATAACTCATTTAAATAAACTTACCGTGATTGTTTTTGTAATTTTAATTGTCTTTCTTGTGGAGGTAGTACTCGCCGGTACAACTTCGGTACATTTTGCTGTTCTTTTGGAGCTACTGGTGCTGGTATCTCGATTTTCCATTCCCGACAGCAAAACTTGAGATCCTATAAATTTGTTCAACAGGTTTCTAGCTTCAGTGTCCTCGGCACTTTCCCCTAAAAAATTATTATTTTTTAGTACATGGTTACTCAAAATAATAACAATTGTTAAAAACCTCTTTGAATTTAAATATAAATAGCTAAAAAGTTTGTTTTAAGCATATTGTACGTGTAGGTAGATATTTGTAGATATGTGTATGTGTAGGTAAAGCTTAAATCTGTATTCCTTATAAGGACCACATTTACAAAATTGGATTTAGCTGTTTTTTAACAACTTTCTCATTTTTTTTTTTTTTTTTTTTAGAAAAAAGATAAATCAAATTCTATGTGACTCCAAAAAAAATACAAATTTAATATTTACCTACATATTTTTTTCTAAAAATAAAAATAAATGGAAGTGAGATAAGCACTACCAAAAGTTAGCAAGTCTGTAGGCTATTGATTAAGTCTTAAAAAAGAGGACAGTAAGGAACTATCACCATCGCGGGTTTTTATCGCATTAATCGTTCAAACGGTCATTAAAGGTGAATAAATAGCAGAGTGCTATAATATTAGAGGGTGGAAATTAGAGATAGGGGCGAAAATACAATCCTTACAGTTTTTTAATTATATCTCGAAAACGAAGCAAAATTCATGTGTAGTTAATAGGAAATATTTTGTAGAGTGAGCGATTTCTCATCGAAATAGATTTAATAGAAATAAAATTTTAAAATTTGAATTTTCTTTTAATGTCGAAAATATTAAAAAATATAATTTTTTACTTTTTTGCGTTTTCTAAGTAAATATATATGCATTGTTTTATATAAAAACAAGTAGATTAAATTTCTTTTATAATAGTGTGTTAAAAAGTTTTTTGGATAGAGACGGACTGAGATATAGAGTGATATGATTAAAATTTAAGTTTATACTCTAAGCATATACTCAAGAGCATGAGCATGAAATAGAAGTTTATACTTCAATCTATATGAATAAAATGTATCCAGCTTAAGCGAGTAAGTGCTCTTATAAAAGTGAGCAGATACTCCTATTTACTGGCTACGCCTAGTAAACCTTGACTGTTTAAAAAAATCTTGTAAATTTATGATTACACTATATTACGGCATTATGAAGAGATCTGGACCATGAGGCCTCTATGCGGCTTGTACATTAATGCTAGGATACCCTTTTCGACTTATGTATTCATTTCCATAACCACGGAGCTTCTTTATTCTAAACTTATGTGAATACAATTATTGGCACCTATTGCATATGAAAAATTATCTTGTTTGCCACTTTTCTTTTCCCATACGAATATCTGCAGCACTATGAGGAAATTTCATTTCAAAGCTAGTTTTTTTCGATAATTTTATTCATAACCTGCGTCACAACTTTTGAAACAGAAGATAGTGGCCTCCCAAATCTTCTACTTCAAATTAAAAACCTGGGTCTGTTACATATCTCAAGAATATTTTTAAATTGTAAACTTTACATATCGCACTGCTTCTTCTTTCAGTGGACTCTTCGCCCAAAAAACGGTTCGAAACACTCTATGTTTTCTTTTGTAAAATGATATAGTACTGTACAGTACTGCCTCAAAAACAAAGATTCAAGTAACTCGACTTACTTGATTCTTTCTTTTTATCTATATTTGGGCCTGTCTTTCGACACTATATTTTTACCAATCCTGGTAATTAAATGGTGTTACATTACCAAGTTATTTACAACTACATTTTAGCCTCTCTACTTCTCGTCGAAAAATATTTTAGTAAATCTTCTTACTTGCAAAGTTTTGTATTATCCTATTCTTATTTATAATTTACCTTTGTATAAATAAATTTACTCGAGTTACTTGAGAAGATTTGACACTAGTGCAATTTAAGAAACAAGTGAGTCGATTTACTTTATGGTACGTACTATAAAATACAAACAAAAAATCAATCAACTTTACTTACCCTCGTTAAAACGATAGTCGATATATATCTTACTCGACTTCTTTTAAAATATTACCAAAAAATAGGGTGGGGTAACAAACCGCTTTACCCTACTTTATGCAAGTTTGGACAAATCATTCAGTATTCAATATTTGTCTATAAGTGTAGCTGGTAGTGCGCCTAAAAAATAAAATATGTCTAGTCGAGGAAGAAAACTGCTTGAAATGTTAGCAAAACCACACAATAGTAAACAGACGGAATTGGAATAACTCCTATAGAAGAAATACCTCCAAAACAGATCGTGGTGCAAAGGGACGACCGCAGACAAAAAGAAAACCCTGATTCTAATGATACTAATGAAAATAAAAAGACTGAACATAAAGACTTTAAAAAAAGCTAAGAAAATCAAAAAATGTTATCTACCTTAATTACTTGAGCCATGTAAAAGGAGTTGCAGGCAAAAATGTCGTGAACGATTTAATGATGATAGAAGAAAAATAATTTTTAAGAATTATAATGATTTAAATTTCAAAGAAACAGGACTGATTTAGAAAAGTCGATGCAGATGTACCCAGAAAGTTTTCGGTGGTATATAACTTACTAAATGTTAAAATAGAATGGCAGCCAGAAAATATATTGTCAGATTCGCAGTCGAAAACCAGCAATACGGTGGTAGATTTGATAATGTAGATACTGTAGAAGATGATCGCAGCAAGTAAACTTATTGTCCAGTATGAAACCAGAAGCATGATAGTGGTTTGTAAAAGTATATTTATGAATACTCCTGGTCTCAGATCTGACTCCATAATCACCGATTCCTTAAAGAGAACAGTAAATGGTAAACCTAAAAGACCTAAAAGACAAAAGAGGCCAAAAAGGGCTGATACAGTGAGAGCAATCGCAGACAAAAAATTTGCAGATATAAAAAACATATTGATTCCTACCATCCGCAAGTGTCACATTATAATTTAGAGCATGCCCCGAATAGCAGGTATTTACCGTGTGATATAGCAATTCGTGAAATGTACAAAGACTTTCTATCAAAGTTTTATAAAAAAGGCTATGGAAGCTATATAAAGATATTCGACAGTGAAAATATAGGTTTTGCATCACCTACCCAAGATGAGTGTGGAATGTGCTCCATCTAAAAAAATCGTGTTCACAAAAATGATGTGCCAAACACATATATTTTAACTGACCCTAAAGAATATGAAGGTGAAGAAGCAGGACTAGTAGAATTAAACAAAGCAGTATGTGAATTTGCAAGAAATACGACAATGATAAAACTCGATACAGTGTAGAAAAAAAAAACAATATAATGAAGACTCCAAAAAGTAGACATTAGATTTTGAAATTTACTCGGTTGACATGCAGAAAATTTTAATATTACAAAAAATGACCATAAAAAAATCGTTTTTCGTCAGCAGATTGGTTGCGATTCATGAAACATTTGTCAACTTGCAAGCAGCAAATGAAAATAAATGTGTACTTTCACATAATGCCATTAGGGGACGGAATGAGCCAGACGTTGTCTCGGCCTTTCACAATGTACTAAAAAGATTAAATAACGATACAAAACACGTAATTTTTTGGATTAACAACTGTACAGCACAAAATAAAAACTGGGCCCTTTTTACAGCTTGTGTCATATTTCGTTAACGAAGTGTGGGGACCAGAAAGTAACACTTTTAAGTATTTTGAGCCTGGACACAGCTTTATGAAAACGGATGCGGTCCATGACCTTATAGAAAAAAATGGAAACACACCCCAGAAATTTTAGATTACGATGACCTGGTTCATTTAATTGAAACATCAAATAAGTAAACAAAGTCATTAATTTACGCGCAGAAGATTTCTTAGAATTCGAAAATGGTTGTCAAATTAGAAAAAAGGGATCAGACTTGCCAAAACTTGATATAAAGTGTGTTTAATTTATAAAGGACTCTAAAAAACTCTGAACTACAAAAATAATCATTTTCTGAAGTATATTATTTGAAATCGAAATTAAAATTAGAATTACCAAAGCAAGTTAAAACCGATAGAGATATAAACAAAAAAAAGATTATTATTAAGGAGCTTACGCCACCGAAAAAACAAATTTTTTGGAATAATCTGCCAAGTAGAGATGTTGATGACTTAGGAATTATTTCTGCTGCTCAAATCTAAAAACTGCTATGAAGCGGAATTTTTTGGCAAAAATAATAATAATTACTATTTGTTTATGAGAAAATTTTTCTTTTTTAAATTTTAAAAATAATGAAATTACTGTTGTTTTTATAAAAAATATAAGTTTCACTAATTGTTGAATTATATTTTCACAATGAATCTTAGACATTTTAGACAATAATTATTTGGTCATTGTTAAAATTTTTTTTTCAAAATTATCATTTACTAAAATTACTGTCAATTTTTGTAAATAGTATTAGCTGCAATATTGGTTGCCATCTTGGAATCTTATTTTCACTTATTAAAAATAAAAATAGATTCTTCAGAAAACCAGTTTTACTTTATTTTAATAAACCAACTTTGAAATTTTTAAATCTTTTTATGTACGTTATTTTATTTCATAGATTCTCTTAGTGTAAATTATAAATCCAGTTGCTTTATTTTTTCAATGTTTTTGGGCTCAATTTAAGTCGATTAATTTCTTTTTAAGATTGCATATCAGAGCGATTGTTAAATACAGTAAGTCAAAAACTATCAAAAACACATATAGTAAAATTATTTTATATTTATTTATACCGTTAAAAAGAGCGCAGCAAAATATTTAATTTAAAAAAACAACAACATTGTGGGTTCAAATCTAAAGAAGTAATCTGAAAAACCATTTTAAAATAAATAAGTTGCTCTACCCAAAACCTCTAAATTTTAAGTTCTTCTTAATTTATAATATTTCTTTGCTCGCAGATTCATAAACTCTGCACTCGGTCATCATTTCTTTGCGGTCAAACTAAATAGAGTAGGTATCTCTCGAAGGAGCCTGAACACAAATTTATTTTTATTCATAAGAAAATTAAGTTTATACTCACTTCAAATAATTGTACATAAGGGTACCTACTCATGATGAGCAACTACCTTTAAGTTTTATTCATACAGAAGTTTTTACTTTAGAATTATTAGCATGAAGTACATTCTCGGCTTTATTTA